TTTTTTTTTTTTTTTGCTGAAATTTGTTTTTTATTTTATTTGCTGCTGATCAAAACTAATAAATCAGTATCTTTCACATTTTCGACTGGCGGCAGTAAAAAAACAAATCCCAACAGGCAAATCACAACTACAGACTTCACATGTATTTGAAAATAGCAGTTATAATGCCTCACTCAACACTCACCCCTTTAGGGTGACATATAAATACAACCACACTTTTGCTGCAAACGTTGGTCATTTGTGTTACAATTGTCTAAGAGGACCACATGGAGCACATTTTGTAGGAGTATGAAATTTTTTCCATAAAAAATCTTATCATCAGATAAACACATCCAGCAATAAATGGGAGTATGCCTGAACAAAGTTTTATCGTTCTAGCGGATATGATTGCCAGTGAGAGACCATGACAATCTTTGAYGTGAGTATGCTGTGCAATATTAGGGATAGTGCGACATACCGCCAGCAAAGATGAATGCATGGCTTTACATAAGCATGTTAATGTCAATAGGCCACTTTAGAAATGAGCAAGAGACTAGCCAAGTCCCTAAGGGCGAGTTTTGAAAATTTTTGTCATATGATTTATTTTGAGAAAGCATTTCAACATTAGTAAGTCTGGCAAATTTGAACATGATTGGATGAAATTAACCAAAATAATTGTCTTTCAAAAGTGTTAAAACCTTACAAAGAATGTATGGTTACAGGGAACACTTGTCTGGTTCTCTGGAAGAAACTTCTTCAAATTTCAGACCTACCAATAATRCATACGATGCTTTATCAGATAACATCTCTTTTGCTAATAATTTCAATTTAAAATTCAAAACTTCCAGTATTTTGGCCACAAGATCACTAACAATGGGGCAGAAATTGAGTTTCCTGTGCAAAAAAAACTCATAATAATACTCTGGACATTTTGTTTTTTCAGTCCCTCAAATTTTATTTTGTGTATGTGAAATCCTTCAACCAGAATAAGTGAGCTATTTTGCATTTCTTGATCCCATCCAGGGACCACAGTTTCCTGCTAAAAGAGTCTCTTGTTATGGGAGATGCTGTTAGGAAGGAAGAACCACAGGGGGAGGGTCTGAGAAGGTTTACAGTGCGACGCGCCTAACCTTGGTCACCCAGTTAGCCAATCAGACAGCGAGATTTTAAGCATTTGCTTATGAACTCACTCAGCATGACCACAAATACTTAAAATTATTTCGTATCCTTTGCAACAAAAACTTAAATAAATGGCTAGCCATTTTCCTAGGTGATACCTATTTTGGTCCCTTTACTGGCTAACGCTGGACACCAAAGTCTTTTAATTGATGGAAACATTTGGCAGGAAAGGATTCAATGGCATTGATAAAAAAAGTTGGGTGGCCATGGTTAGGTGCGTTGCACTGTAAATAGCTATCCCACTTTTTCATCACACTTTTTCATCATAGTTAAATCTTGTCTCCCTACTTGCTTCAAGGATGCAGTCCTTGACATCATGTGAGAGCCATGATGGTTTTCATACTTGAACAAAACCTACATTTGCAGTCCTTGATATCAACGTCAGCCGTGTGTCATGGATTTCATACTCAATACAATAGCCTAGGATGACCTATAGTCTGTGATATATACAAGTTAGAATAAGGGTTGTATTCATTGAAGAAACTCTTCCACACTAGCAAATGCGCATGCACCAAGTCCTACTTTTGACATTAATTTGAGGCATTCCTGTGCCTGGCCGAGGACCAGATCTAGAGGTGGCTGTCTTGGCATGTTGTGAGATTCTGAAACCAAAATAAAGACATTAATTCTTATTAGCTAAATCTTGGTAGTAAGTACTTTAAGATCTTGAATTGGGTCCTCCATGTTGTGTTCTGAAATAAATGCTCATTCGTTTCATCAGAATTAATTTTGTGCTAGCAAGTTATCTCGTGAGAGCTCTTGAATTGTAGAAGGTTTTGAATTTGCTATTAAAGCACCAGCACAAAGGACATTCTATTTCTTTCCAAAGCTTTTTTGCAGTTCAATTCTTAGATAAAATTTCCAGCAAAATGGTATTAGTGATCTTTTACTTTTGGAGGCATTTTGATCTTGTCATGCATTTTGTCCAAATTTAGGAGTAAAGACATTCACATAACCGAAGCCTTCTCAGCTTTCTAATGCAAAATCGAAGCTCTAGTTACACAAACATCGACCATTAATTTGATTGGTTTAAATCTTTTGCATAACCTGTTTCCAGTTCCCTGAGTTAATTTCCAGTCAACAGTTGAAATTTGAATACTTTACCATACAGTCCTCCACTGGTCATTAATGTAAAGCACATTGAGACGTTGTATAAATGTGCTATACAAGAACCTCCCATTAATCATTATTATAATATACTAGGGTTTGACTAAATTGCATATTATTTTGGAATGTTAATCACAGAAAAATAAACTGTTCCAAAAACAATGTAGCTATATGAATAAGCTTGATTCTTTTTCTCTTGAAAAACAAAACAGTTTGAGTTTATACCAGAAGTCTGAATAAGTGGAGCATGCACATATCTGACAACCTAGTATCTGGGTCTTCTGGTTTTTGTGTTACCAGAACCTTCGATTTTTTGGTGAGAAGGGCCTGGGTAGGAGAATGTGGTAAAAATAGCATTTTCGACTTTCAATTTAGATAAACATCTGGATAAAAATGGCTGAGTGCGAAAAGATATAAGTGGCTGATTATAATAGTGAGACTTGATGCCTTACCTAAGATAGCACTATTAAGAGCTGAGCAGATTGGTTCTCTTTGAACTGGATCTAGAAGATAACCTACAGGACTTGACCATGTATCACTGTATGCTAGTAGACTAAAGGCATCCTGCAAACAAACGAAACATTAATCTACAAGCAACACAGCTGTAATTCATTCATGGAAATTAGGAAGCATGGGTGACGTATCTGTGAGAGTGCTCGCCTCTTACCAACACAACCTGGGTTCGATCCTCAGACTTGTCGTATATGAGTAGAGTTGTTTGTAGGTTCTTTCCTCCTGTGCTTCAAGGCTTTTACTCCAGGTTCTCCGGTTTTCCTCCCTCCGCAAAAATCAACTTCTAAATTCTAATTTGATCTAGGAAGGGCCTGGATGAAAATTACTCTGTGTACCGGTTTTCCTCCCTCCGCAAAAATCAACTTCTAAATTCTAATTTGATCTAGGAAGGGCCTGGATGAAAATTACTCTGTGTAATTCTAGTTACCCAGTACCAAAATGGTTCATTTATTCCCACAAATATATCAAAGAGGAAGACATAGCTGAACTTTTGAGACATAATGCACTGGATCTGAATTACTTAGCCTGTGATTATGATTATTGTTGTTGTCAGTTGTTCTTATTATTATAATTGTGTTATTGTGGTAAAGACTCTAGTTCAGTTCAAGGCTTAATAAAATATTGCTTTCAAATCCAATGAACTTAATCTACTTTAAATTAATGACCAATATAAGCCTCACCCCCCTCCCCCAAAGGACACACCCAATATTTTTTTAGCGCTCTGTAGTCCTCCTAATTGGTTGTTACTTCACGTACGACTACATGAGATGGCACTATTGGATTATTAATGATTTATTATTGATTATAACATCCTGAAACCCTAACCCTAACCCGGAACCAAATCCAAAAAAAATCTACCCTTAGACTTTATTATGGAACAGTGCCATTTCATGTAGTCTTAAAGGGGCACTTGGACGAAAATCAATAAAAATTGGAAATGACTTGAAACTTGTTTAAACTTATCTAATATATAGCCCAGATAGTAGCCAAGCAACATGTTCCCTTCACAGTCAAAAAAGGCGGGAAAAAATTATCAATTTTATTCAGCATCTAAATTGCGAGTAAATGGCGCCATTTACTCAACCCTATTGTTCTTTTCACGTTTAACCCAAAATATCTCAACAGCACTGAGTGGCTCCCAGGTTAAAATTTTCACTTATCTGATTTTCATAATTATAATTGAGTCATATTATCCACAAATACTTCAATTATTCGGACTTTCAAAAATCGGGGCATTTTCATCCAAGTGCCCCTTTAAATGAAGTAGTAACTAAGGTCCTAATCACACAGTTAATCCTGGTTTAATACCTGTAATGCCTTCTTGTTAGTTTCATTCTTGCCGTGTTCTCTTCTCAGATGTATACTCATATTGTGTAAATCCCGGCCAAATCTGAGGATTTTTTCCAGGGTTGATCTGTTACCACAGCACAGTTGACGAGGTGAACAAGTTTCAGATGAACCTTTATAAAAGAAAATAGAAATAAGGAAAAAATATAATGTACTTTTTCAAATTGGTTTTGCCATTTTGTATTATAAATTCAGCCTACTTGCAATTCTATAAACTAGTGTATTTGCAGATTTAAACTCCTATCACCAGCACTGACATGAAATAAGAAAATGTTTATACTTGATTTCCCATCATGGTTTGTGCTAGAGATTTGTGCTCACGCACTGGGTGGCATGGGTGCAGTAGTGGTTCACTGCTTGCCTCTCACTGCTGTGGTCGGGGATTAAGCCCTGGCTCAGACTGGATTATATAATACATACGTGAGTTGAGTTCGTTTGATGTGATGTTTGTGTTGTGTGATTATTAAGAAACATGATTGTTTTCTTTGTTTTACTTGCACGTTAATCTTTGTGTTGTTGTATAGAGTGTAGAGTGGTAGGACTTGTGGAGCAAACAACATGGAAGAGCCCCATATGGGGAGTGATAGAGGTAAAATATGTTTTTTTAAATATAATTTTTTTCTATTATTATCCTCATTTTAAATTCACCTCAATCTATGATATTCACTCATACACAACTCACTCACACACAACCTACAGAATAACGTGATAACCTACTTCTTCTAGGGCTGTGAGGTTGGTCTTCTATCATAGAATCACCATTAATAACACTACCATTAGAAGACTCCTCGACATCTTCCACTTCCATTGGCGCATCATCATCATCGGCAAGACCATGGTCAACACCATTACTAACAAGTCCATTTGATGTCGACCCACTTGAACTAGCTCCTACGCTGCTAACCGATGTAGCACCATAAGAATGTGTTGGGCTTACATTAGGACTTGACCTTGGGCTGTGAGCCGACGGGCGTACTTCACTATCATTTCCACTGACCATTTCCACAAATTGACGGCATTTTAGTAAAAATAATAAATTCTGGTTTCTTTCTAATAACCCTGGGTACAAAGACTGCGTCATTTCTATTGCTTCTCCTATACGACCAGCTAAAACTAGTTTCTGTATTCCTGAAGGAAAAATGTTATAATTATTATTTAAAATAATCAATTACAGGTACCTACCTACAATTTTCAAAATCATGTGCATCTGAGTACTTGTGAGTTGCCTGTTGTAGTTGGTACCGTCATATAAAATGTATCAACTAATTAATTTCGATTGATGGCAAGGGAAAAAAACTTCATTTTGCAGCTCAGAGCTACCAATTAGGGTAATAATATTAAAAACTGCTAAGTCAAAGTAATTCTTGTTTTTAGATCAATGTATGAGTTGAACTTCCATTGAAAGACCTTTCTGAGGTCAAGATTCTTTTTCCTTCTGCCTTGTTTGTTACAAACAACACACAATATAATAACGGTAAGCCATATTAGAAAAAAAAGGAAATCTCAATTAACTAAGGTTGTGCAGTATCCTTGTAACATACAACGTAAATATTTTCTCAGGGTGACAAAAATAATGACGATCAGTTACTGGTCATGATCATCTGGCCAAATTAGATTAAGCTTGGTCATATCTCATTTCTGGCTAAAGGTTACTGGTCAAAATGACTGGCAACTTGACCAGACAAGTTCCAATTCTGGCTGGACGTTGTTCATTTAATAGTTTTTTTTAACTTAAAATTTGATTTTTGGCTGCCATCATTCAAAAATAATCAGTCTGTACCTGATGGCAGCAAAGGATCTCAGAGATCTCAGCACCAAATATCATGAACTATGATACCAACATATGTAATATCCATAATATTATGTAAAACACAATGGCGAATGAACTGTTATACTGTTAAAGATGAAGCACATTATGATGACCAGCCTGGTTTGACTGTGTAACCTATTTTAGCATTTTTATACCACTTACTCTGTCTGTTCTTAATGGACGCCAGCTCCTCTGGACAGGATTGTCCTGTACTTCTATCAAATGATTCAGCTGTAGCACAGTAACCATGGTGTCTAAGGTACGTTGAAACAATCCTACAGCAGCACACAGCATTGTGTCAAGTTTTCCACTGATTTTAATGTTAATTTTAATGCTTTTAAAGTTAGAAAAAAAAWTAAAATTGACAGCTATTTCAAGAAAGGCTTAACACTGAACACTGTAGTCTGAAATGTGAAAATATTAGGCCAAGTGATAGAAGTTCATTAGTTTTAAGGCATTATGTCAGACTTTATCTTACTTTTGTATTGTAGACTGCCATTGTCCTTCCTTATCACTGATTGGATATTTCTCTATAGCTGCTGTTGTGTTTGCATGTATTTCCTACAAGATAAGACCATCATTAGCTATTTTAATAAACCTGTAATGAGGTAGGAATAGACGTTTTGCATTTTCATGTGCCGGCAGACATGCAAGATGGCAGAACAAGTTTTATTACAGGCCCTGTCAGGCTCTGTGTCGTATGTGAGTAGAGTTGTTTGTTGGTTCTCTCTTGTGCTTTGATGGTATTTCTCCAGGTTCTCGGGTTTTCCTCCTTCCAAAAAAATCAACTTCTAAATCATAATTTGATCTAGAAAGGGCCTGGATGAAAATTACTCTGTGTAATTCTAGTCGTTTGGATTGAAATCCGGTCCTAGACCGGTAAGGCTTTGCATCCACCTCAGAGTGGTAAAGTTGGACAAATTTAAAATTTCAAAGGCACAAGTTTGGCTAAAATTTGTAAACTTTTCTATCGTCTTTTTCAGGAAATCTTAGTAATAAGTTTGCTTTACAATCACTTGATGGTTTTGCGTTTGATATTACTACGAGTTACTATTTAGCACCTCATATTGCATTTAATTAATGCAAAACTTCTGTAGATATTACAGAAATCTCTAAAAATGAAACATATATAATTGTGTGTTAATTATATACTAAGTATTAGTTAATATTCTCTATACACCCTTCTCATTTAATGGCTGACCAGTGCACGAAAACTAGGTCATCACCCAGTCATTACTTCACAATAAAAGATATAAAATTACATGAAATGACTATAAAGAAGAAAAGTATAAAAAATGGCATTTGTTTTGATCTGAATTAGAGCTAACAGCCTTTATTTTGAATGAGCAGCTTGGCTCAACCTTGCAAGATGACTGGGTGACCTGGTTTCTGTGCGTTCATCAGCCATTATGAAAAGGGTGTTATGTATTGGCAGGAAAGTGGTACAAATATTGCCCTCCCTATAATCAAGAACTTGCTACCCTCTTGTTACAGACAATATTATCCATGAAAAGTGTTATAACAGAACTTACTTTTATCTCTTCTTCAATGTTATATAGGAATGGAAGTTGCCCAAAATTTGCATCTACAACTTCTCCTGGTGTTTGTAAGCCGACAGTCGGATAAAGAATGGACTGAAAGAAAACATATATATGTTACTTACCGTCCTATACTCAGTCCGGATAGGGAAAAACTGTGCACGAGGTCTTGAATATATGGACCGAGGACACAGTTTTTTCCTATCCGGACCGACTATAGGACGGTGAATAACTTATTTATTTTTTTCCTGTATTCTTTTTACTTGTTTTTGTAATCGTTTTGTTTTGTTGCATTTAGCGGCAAAGGATACCGGACCTCGAGCGGGGGCAGATACTGACAAAAAACTGCATGCTCAAACAGCCAATCAGAACGCATGATATTTTAGGATACCGGACTGGAAAAAAATAAATCCATTTTTGTATAATTTTTAATGCTAGAAATCAAAAGATAAGCAAGAAAGTGCCTTAAAAACTTACAGGGAGATCTCTGAATGCAATCCCTGAAAATCAAAGAAAAAAATTGTATTTTTAATCATCATATAATGATAGTATATTAGGATAGTACACATACGCTGATTGGTCAAAAACTGTGCTTTGTTAGTGAACAGAGCACAGTGCTGATGCCATCTCACGCGCGAAGTGCTGCTTGATACTGTGACTATCTTAATGCGTAAATAAAGTCAATACTGGAATAAAATTAGTTACTATATGAATAAACAGTTTTTTCTGTGCTTTTTTGTTTGTTAAAATATCATAAGTTTACTAAGGCTCAGTTCAAGTGTGGAACTTCACATCTTTGATGTTTTTACTGCGATTCCAAGTCACATGCGACCAAGTGAGACCAAAATCACAAACGAAAAATGGATTTTTGGTGGACGTCAATCAAAAGGGTTTCTTAAACATGTCTAAGGATTCCGACTCCTAATTTCAAAGGTTTAACTGTAAACTATCAGTATTGACTTATCCTATCTTGAAGAAACTCAAATCATAGCCATAGTGATAGCTTTGCACTCAAACGTTAAGATTCAGAGCCGGAATCCTGTGACATTTTTGAGAAAATATATCCAGAGTGAGAAATTCACAGCGACAAGAAGCATGAGATAAGGACAACGATTTTTGCACATTTGCACGTGTTCACCTGAGTATTCACATCAGTCCTGGTGTAGAAACCAATAGAAACGATAAAAACCCTTTTGATTGACGTCCACCCAATTTCAATTTTTTGTTTGTGATGAAGGTCTAGTTGGTTGCGTGTGACTGGGAATCGCAGTAAATTTGGCTCGTGTAAAGTTTGACGTGAGCCTAACTTGCATGACTGTACAAATTCTATTTTAATTAATTTATCACTTTCCAGCCAAATCATTATCAAGCTCAACAACAAGTGTATACGTGTATACTCTAGATTCAAAAAAACGTTATTTCCAGTGTTTTTATATCAGACCACGTGTCATTCACTAGCTAATCATTTCTTTACAGTTGCCCATGACAAGACACDATAAAATCAACCCAGGATACAACTCAAACAAAGAATCTTATTTTTGAGAGAATAATGATGATGATAATGATGATAATAATTCATGCCCGCAATATTCTGTATTCATGTAGCAAAAATGTCTGAAGTTAAAATAAACATAATAATAATAATAATAATAATAATAATAATAATAATAATTTGCATACATCTTTGTAAAATCAGTCATGCAGATATTTGCTTAGACTATTCATGCCCGCAATATTCTGTATTCATGTAGCAAAAATGTCTGAAGTTAAAATAAACATAATAATAATAATAATCTTTATTGCACATATAATTAAATAATAATAATCATAATGATTTATAAGTAGTCTGAAATAGGAAAATACTTCCATACAAGCTAAAACTTTCTATCGTAAAATAATTATAATTATTTACCTAGATTTACACCATTCTTAGTATAGAAACAGGTGTTATCAATCAAGTTTAATCCGCAACCAATCACATCTCCTGTAGTAAACGTTGGTCCATATGGCTTTCCTGTCCCAGATGAACAGAACGAATGCCCGTCATCTCCATGATAACCATAAGAGTTCTTCTCCCATCCTTTAATAAGATCAACAACACACTTAGAATAGACTGACATTGAAATTTTCTCTGTATTTAGTGCATTATAAGCAAGTGATGAATATAAAATATAATAATTATCTATAAAATATATCATGTATAAATATTAATCTACTGCCCTATATTCTGCAACTCTTGGAAAATCTAATAGGAGTGTTAGCCTCAAGTGAACAGGCAGATCACTTACCAGGTAATCTGTTCATGTTGACTCCTTGTGCCGTTAAACCGATCCCCATGTATCTGAAAGGCAAAAAAAACCCTAGGGCTTTATTTYCCCCCCCATGCTTTGCTTTGCTTTGTCATTTTAACCACCTAAAATTGAGCCAAAAACTGGGTTTGACTGAACAGGTGTTGTGTTATTTTTAACACTGTGAGTTAAGTTTGTTTGAAGTATTGCTCCATCCCTTGAAATTAGTGGGTTTTTTCAGGTTATTCCACAAACTATAAAAATCAACATGAGTGAAGAATGTTGTGGTTATGTGTTAGTGAGTGCACAAAATGAAAACAACTTTTTACACCCTATAAAGTGTGTGCAACAATGTGACTCAAAAATCCCTTGAGATATGAATAACAATGAAATAGCTACCATCTTGGTTGATATAACAAGAGAAACCAATGAGGAATACTTTGTTATCATCAACCAAGATGGCAGCAATGAAGTAACATGCACCTGCTCTATAAAAAGGACACTTTCTATTGTCCATAATTCAAGATCTAGGTTTAGGGATTTGGCTAATAATGTGTAGTTCAAGAAATTATCCCTACCCATCCCACAGAGGAACTACGAAAATACATCAGTCAATTGATAGCCTTTTTCTTACCCATCTCTTCCCTTGCTCACTATCTTTACTTCAAAGTAATAAAGGCCACATGCTGCTGGGATTGGATGGGTAGCTCTGACTGAGGCTGCATCTTTATGAGTTTTACCAACACCTGAATCAATAGAAAACCATTCTTAGCTTTTGAATATCAATATACCAAATGAACACTCGTAAACTTACAAAATGTGAGTGAAATTTTGTACTTAGCAAGTAAGAAAAAATTGAACTACAATCTGCACCAAAACTCGCTACTCAACTTCCCCTTCCCATCCAAACACAACATGAACTATATCACTTCCCCCCTCCCCCTTCACAATGTTGAGATGCTCAACTTCTGATTTGAGTGAGGGGTGTATCTTGTACAGAAACAACATTGATCTAGGGGGGGGGGGAGGGGAGGTGTTGGGCTCATAAGAGTAAGTGAGGATCCATTTATCAAAAGGTATGCTAATGTCAATAGAAGTGTAGTGGTTTCAGTGTAGTGAATAATGAGGTGAGTATGACTACAGTCCAGAAATTGAATGACTGAAAAATTTAGAACCTGCATCAAGTAATGTTTGTTATTAGCCATGATCAATCGCTAGTGACTTTGAAATTTTATGCTAGTGAGAATAAAACTTACTCGCAAGGTTTTTCTACTGGGTTTTAAAGTTAACTGTGTGTCGGTCTACTATCAAGCAATTATTGGATGAGGTTGAACATGATATTATGCAGTAACCGAATTCAATAATTGCTTTATTATACATTTTGTATACTGGAAAAACATTAACATGAACATTAAATTATAGAGACAAGAATTATGAATGCCATGATGTTGCCTGAAAAATGCAAAATTTTTAATTCAGAAATATTTTAAGATGGATCTCAATGCCCTTGGCAAAGCTACCACAGTGTGACCTTGAATGACCAATCAGAATTGAGTTACTTAGAAAGATGTATAATAATATGAGAGATCCATTTTTGGCTGTCAACTAATAATAATATAGATGCAAAGTGTTTTCTCAAGGATTGTCTCCCTCTGTCACTCCATAATCTATTCCTTTGTTTCCTTTGTGGATAAGATTCCTTGTAAAGTGTTTTCCATTAAAGTGCATACAGCAATTCTAAATGATCCACAATACACAGGAAGAAGATAACTGATTAAAACTGGGCAAAAAACTGTATAACACCACGTAGAGCTTTAAATATAAAACAACGATACGTACCACACTTCTTCAACGCACGGCTTACAAGGGGAAAAAATGAAAACTGCTATGGAAAATAAATAGTACTGCAAATTTTCTTCTCTGCCTCGTTTACATATTCATAATTTTGAAAGCTGACAATATTTTTTTCATTTATTTGGCATATGGATGTGTTTTTGACATAAACATATAATTCATGAACACCTAACATTACTGGTACATGTACTCAAACGTTTTAAAATATATATCAAGACTGCAAAATCTGTAATACTATCTTCAACCTACTCACAAAAACAATGATAAAATAATAATTAGTTTTCTGTAAAGAAAATTTTAGAATTAATCTTGATGTTCAATAACATTGGCTTTAACTGTTTCACTATATCAACTGGATTTAACATTAAATCTCACTATAAAATCTGCTAGCTTTCAAATGTAAAAGATATTTGAATAGAATGAGGTACATACGTGGTTTTCTAATTTCTTTGCTTTAGTTTCTATTCTTCCTTTTATACCATGAAAACAATATTTAAGACTAGTCAAGCTTAAGCTTAAAAATATAGATCTTTAAAATAAAGAAAATATTTCGGGCATCAAAACAAAAGTGAATTAAGTTTATCTTTAAAAGAAGAACTAGAAATAAAAATATGTCTATAAACTTGGCGGAGTTTAACTGTAATAACTGTATTAAAGAGGAAAGAAGCTGGATTAAGAATGAGTAAACCACTCGAGGGAAACAGGAATCGTTTTATGAAATTATCTGGTGCTTGTAAACAAACAAAATGCGCTACAAGACGAGAGAAAGACAAACGAAAACGGGCACTTTCTATCTATAAAGTAGCTTCTAACGCAGCCTTAAGGCTTCTAGATAATGGATGAGAAGGAAGGATAGTACAAAGGAGGGTATATAAAAGCGTGACACGAAATTTAAGATGCACAAAAAAAAAATGAGCGAGGAAAAAAGAACGAATTTCAACATTCTAAATACCTTTGTAATGGACTCTCAAATTGTTCTGAGAGAGTCCAATAAAGGTAAACTTATCTTTAGGACTCCAACATCGCGGTAAGGGGGTCTCTGACTCGTCTACTTTAGGGTAAAGGGAAGATATTCTGTCGACTTGTTGGTTGGAATCCGAAGTAGTGCTGGAACCCGCCGCCATCTTGGATTATTGTTAGAGGTGAAGTTAGGCCTTGCGTCATGACATTGGACCGCATGGGTGGATGGGACATCACAGGGAACCCAACACCAAGAGAAAAAAGAGGACAGATATAAATGAATGAATGAGAATAGAAAAAGAAATGGAAATTGTGACAGGCACCAATAAATATAGAAAAACTAAGGAATGAATGAGAATGGAAAAAGACAAACGGATTTTTTATAGTTTTTAGAGGGAATAGTGGCAAACACTGCACCAATCAAAAGGGAACCCTGTATTCCCAAACTTCTAAAAGGTCGTGTCTAGATGGGATACTCGCAGTCCAGGTGATTGAGAGAGACTAGGGAGAGCATAATTGTCATGGGAATTTTATTCAGTCGGCTAGTAGTCGTACCCTACGATAGCATAAATTAAGCTATAACATATATATGTGTGTGTTTAAATATGACTAAAAAATGAGACCAACCAAGCGAATTCCCTTCGTGGTCTAGTGGTTAGGTTTAGGGTTAGGGTTTCGATTCTAGAGAAACAAAATTTCTATAAAGGCCACTCGTGTGTTTGTAATCCTATGACGTACTTCGTTAACCCTAGTCTCTCTCAATCACCTGCACTGCGAGTATCCCATCTAGACACAACCCTTCTAAAAATCCATAAACGAAAAACGATTTTGCGCTGACATAAAAAAATATCAAATCATAAACGAATTCAGGCAACTCCTGTAGAGAACGACCGCCTAAACAACGAGAAAATGGATAAAAGGGATTAAAAAAACTCTAGCGGGGTCAAGAGAGCCATGCAAAAGTGTTGAAAATGTACCAAAATGCCAAAATATATTTGAAATACTATTAACGAGAAGGTTTGTGATGGAGTACGTTAATTCCTGGGTTAATTATTCGAGTCTTTCTCGGTGTAGCAAACTTTATTGTATTCTGGGTTATTTTTAGTCCCCCCCCCCCCCTGCGTATAAATGTTTGTCAAAGGAGTGACGGAACGAGTGAGTATGCGTTCAAAGCCATCAGCGTCACAATCAAGATTTTTGAGTTTGCTGTAAATGCTTTGCGCTGCCGTACAACGGTTCAGCACTCGATGTCTGGAAGTGTGGTCCTTTTTAATGAATCAAAAAGTAAAAATCAAAAAATCATGCTTCCATAGCAAATAAACTTTCTAATAAATTAATTTACTATGATGCACGTTACGTTTAGTTTTACTAAACGCATACCATATGGAAAGGAGTGAGTATGCAGGTGTTCAAAGGCATCAGCGTCACAATGAAATACTTGGAGTTTGCTGGTCATAGCAAGAGGTTAATCATCTAAGGTCTAGGGGCCGACTAACCTCTCCCTTAGGCTTCGGCCGAGCTTCCTGATTAGTCTGTAAATCTTCGGATAGCGGTGTTGGGGGCGAAATCTCCGGYGTAGCCGTAAATGCTTCGCGCTGCCATACGACGGTTCAACACTGGAAGTATGGTGCCAAATGAATCAAAAAATGAAAATTCCAAAATCCTGTTTCCATAGCATGTGTCAATTATGTCTATTTATAAAATAACTGTTATAAGTGTCGCGTTCTGATTGGTTTGGAGCGCGTGCTTTATGAGAGCACATTGCACGCGCGCGCACTTTCCGTTGCGTCATTCCTATCTATTATTGTAATTTGTATTTTATAAAAGAAATAAAAAACTTGCTTGCTGTGTTGTGTGCAGTCATAAAGCACTTGGGGGATGGCAGAACACTCGAGAAGTGTCGAGAAGCACTCCGCTACTGTGCGAACGAAGAAAAAAACGAAGACAAAGGCGAAAAAGACCAGTTTCGAATCCCAAATTACCGCTGTGTTTCTTGAGTACAGACTCATTTGCACAGGGTTAGCCTCGAGTTTGTGCAGAATATTCACGTGCTCCAGTCAAGGTCCGTCGAGTTTCAAAATGTTTGTATTGTTGAAGTTGTGCATTCTTTACTTTTCTGTTGGTTTTTGTGAATATTTAAACACTGATACGAGGCTAACCCTGTG